GGGGGGGGGGGGGGGGGGGGGGGGGTTTAGCTAATCCTTCAGTTGAGTCTCGCCATAGACTCCAAAAACATTTAGGGGGAAAACCACAAACCAAAACCTCAAGTCGTTCGTCTAAAGGGACAACAGACGAACAAAACTATATTTTGTCATGTAAATCTAATTTAAACCAAGTTAGGAATGGAAAAATAGTTTGGACTGTCCTTCTATAGGTATAAATTCCTATACATAAATTTTTCAGCATGACCCACCCTTTATTTGGTAACTGTAGCTGATCTAAACCATGATAGCGCACACACCAGGTGCATATAGGTTAAGGTCTTATGTAAAATCCCACTCATAAGCCCAACTAAAATCACATAAATGCATAACACAGAACCAGAATGGCACCCACTGGGAACCACCAGCAGCAACCTTCGCTGAAGGGATCTACAACTCCAACGTGGGTCTCCAAACTCCATCCAGTGGTCGCCTCTGCAGTTCAATCGAGAGAACCCCTCTGCATGCTGATCAATCAACACCTCCAATCGTTGTGGATTTATCGTTGTAGATTATATGACTTTTTCCAATGGATTACAGACTTTGTTTCCAAGGGGTTAAAGCATTGCTACAATGGAATTACCAACAACATAATGGAATTACCAACAACATTGTAGAATTACCTAAACCGTTGTGGGATTACCTTCTTTGACTTTTGTTTTCCTCTTGCTGGATTACATCAAGATCAAGGACATTCGGAGGCGTAAGTTCATGTTGGAATTCATCCCCATGGACAGGCGATGATTTCCAAAGGGGGGACTGTAGTGAACTAGGCCTCTAACCACAACCTGTCTCTGAAGACCTTCAGGGGACAGGAACTGTTATTTCATTGATTTGAATCCAGAAATACAAATTAGCTCATCAAGAGACTGTTTAATTGTATCCTGAAGTAATCAATTGAAAGAACACTCTTCTTTTGATAATCAAAGTGTGTTTAGTTCATACCATTTCTAAATGTTGAAGTGAACCACTCATTTTAAATCAACTGTGAAATAGTATTAATGATTTTTAAACCTCA